ATTTTCTTGATATCTCATGTGCAACGGTCATTTGAAAATTTTACCGAGTTGTTCTGCTGTTCAAAAACCCGGTAAATTCCTACCGACTTCGGTGATCTGAATTAAGTGTGTAGGAAAAACCAATAACCCCTCATTTTATCTGTCAAACTTTCATAGCGAATCAAAACAAACATTGCGTAGTACTAGAATTTCGACTAGAATAGGGTACGTTAATCGTTTGCTTGGGACCAATAGGCTACTAAAGTGGTGAGCCAATTTAAAATCGTTAGTTTCGTATTGATTGTTGGTGGTACACTCAAAAGATTTTCAAATCTAAATAGATTAAAAGTTACGCTAAATCGCAACTCTCCTGACCGACGCATAGGTCGGTATAAAGAGAGAGAATACAAGCTTAAACGCTGTCCAGACTGGAGAGTTATAACATGTTATAACAGTTGTCAAATAATTGCAACACAGAAACCACCATCAAGATAGCGCTATAACATGTTATAACTCTGTAGTCTGAACGTACTATTAGTATAAAAATGGTTTATTCAATGTACAGTGCAAAGTAACAGTATGCATAAAATGTATACAGTCCACTAATTCGTCAGAATGCGTTTTTAGTTGCTGAGATATGACGTATTTAGAAAAAAGTAAACAAAAGATTCGGGAATAATATCGGAAATAATGAAATTATGATTTTATTGAGTTGAACGTTGAACCGACATCAGGTACCAATTGCACTGCCTTCCAGAGTTCAGAATCTTACAAATATAAAGCTCGTGTCTGATGTTCGATCGAAAAGTTCTCCTTATAACTGACAACCAGAGCCACTACCACCGGAGACATTCTTGATCTGTTGTTGCTGCTTGCTTACAAAACTTTTCCTCCTGTCCGAGTGACTTGAAGAAAAACAAACACATACCTGTGAAGTGTGCACTGGACTTATCGAATCTCACCAAATACGTTCTCGAACTGCAAACTTTCTGAAAGATATCGTCCGCATTGCTTACTATCGGTTAGGGAGTCTTCCGAGCTGGGGTATTAACTACTGTGTCGCGGTGCCTTAGTAGGATCCAAGACCATATTTGGTACCGCGCGTTGTAGGTAATCTTCCTGTTCTACCTGCTTGAATATTTCTTCCTGATGTAAAGAAAGATCCAATCAAGGCTATTTGCATTATGTGTGGAATATTTTATTAAGTCGAAGATCGTTTTAGGTTAGGTTAGATTTTCTTTAATGAGGCTTTCAACCTGGGGCTTTTTTGCCTCCAGCTGATCGTTTTAATTAATTTGTAATAATTTAATGACCTTATCGAATGGAACAATTGCTACCACTTAAAAAAACTAATCCAGAATGATGAAGCGCGTGCCAATCTTTTTATACTACTGAGGAATTTTCGTTTCAAATTCAATGTTATGATTAATTTGAAATCTAAGATAGATTTATTTTTATACTAAGCGATGTTTAAATCGCATTTATCGAAAAAAATAATACTTTTTAATCTAACAATGTTTTGAATTATTTTTGAGTGTCCAAGTGACAAGTCCAGTACATTTCCACTGTACTCTGAAAATTTGGTGCTGGTGGTTCTGTCAAACTCACAAATTTCAGAAGTGTTATTTGAATAGGGCGAATGCAGATATGTAAATAAAGTAAATAAAATACTGAACATAAAAACAGATAGCCTCATCTGTTTCTTGAAACTTCAAGATGGTGGGGAACAATGTTAATGAAACGAACGGGTGTAACAAAAGACAATCACTGAAATTTATTCGTTTTAGAAGCTCATTATGAATATCTTTTGTTGAGAGACGCTTATTTTTATCTATTTTATTTATTTCTTCATGTTTAAATGAATATACGAAATATTAGTGTTCACACAGCAAACCTGCTACTCACCGCGAATAAGAATCAATTTTGTTTTTTTTTGTCACCCCTCAATAGCAAGATGGGGAAGTAAACGCTTTTTATTGATACGGCTTTTTATTGCAAGTCTTCATCGCACAAGTATGCTCAGAAAAATTATTCTCAAGACTGATAATATTCAAGAGCAAAATATAATAGAATTATCCAGTGTGTTTTTATTTCCATTTGATTATATAAGAAAAACTTCCATCAATCTGTTTCAATTTGTTTGGATTTATTTCATTTCACCACGAAAATCATACATCGCTCTTTTCACATGGCATTCTTGCTTGTTGTTTGACATCCACACATGGTGAAACAAAAAGTTGCCTTCCCATAGAGAAATACTGTTGCGACGGTGAAGGGCAGCCCCTTTGTTTACGTTGTGTGGCGACATCTACTATTTGCAAGTGGGTACGTGAAACTAAGATTATCTGTCACCTTGCCGGGGACTTGGGTACAATGAAGTGAATATTGTACCAAAAACCGCAAATCTGGCAAATAGTCTCTGGTGAAGCGGAAGCTTTCTGGAAAGAAACAAGGAATCAAAGATATCAAACCCTTCCAACAAATTTGGACTCTGTACCAACCCTAATGAATGGTGTTAATCGCAAAGTTCGAAAATTTTATGAAAATACCGAATAACTTTGTTTTGACTTTGTGAATTTTTAAATCAAATCCCATGAATCTTAAATAAACAACTACAATTGAAATATAATGCGAAATGTGTGTTTTACTTAAGTTTTAATGTATCCGGATTATTATGGATACAGACCTTAATTCACTGTGATTGATTGATTAACATTTAAAAGATTTACAGCCGTAGTTTGTTTCTGGAAAAGAGTGAGAATGCGTCTAAAGAAGCTTCCTTGGCCAAGGGGGGTGTCACATCAAAAAATCTCACACTAGCGAATCAATCTACGAAAAATCTTCTTTCATTTCTCGCATCTACTTACATCGTGCATCATCTTTTTGCAGTAAATCTTCAGAATCGTCATCAATCTTCTATCTATCTACTCAGCGCACACGTAGTTAACCACAGCAACACACAATCTTTACTGCATCGTAGATAAAGTCACCCCCCGCAAGAAAAAAAAAACTTCAAAATGGCGAATTCGATTTTTTTTAATTCGAAAACGTCACTTTCAATCGAAATAACGTCTAGGACAAAGTTGTAGAAAAAAATCCTTTACAGGAAAACTTTACACTTTAAAAAATTTCAAGTAATTTTGGGTAATAAGCCAAAAAAGTGCTTATAACTCAAATGACAAAAAATGACGTTCTTTAATATTTTTTAAACAATTATCATTGTAAAGTTTATGAAAATGTTCACTGAAGATAGCCTTTTTCAAAGCATATGTAAAATGTAATGAAAAATATTATATTGGGTTTTTTTTTGTTATTTAAGCTTTATTTATTTTTTCGCCAAAAATTACTTGAATTTTTATTCTGTGTATATTTTTTTTTTCCTGAAAAAGAATATTTTTTTACTACAACTTTGTGTCAGACGTCATTTCGATTGGAAGTGACCTTTTCGAGATATGTTTTTTTTCCTTGATGTGTTTTCCGTGCCGAGTGCAAATGCTACCGACGCCAGGGAGGCAGCTCCCACACCTGGACCCTACCTATCAACCCATCAACTTATGAACCGAGGACCAACGGCTTTGCTTCCCTTCACTAAGCAAAATTCAATGATTATTTGTATGTGTCACACTCATGATTTTTTGCAATGTGATAAACAAATGATACATATGTGTCGGACACATAGTTCTTATGTGTACACATAAAATTCATGTATAACCACACATATTCATTTGACTCATTTATATCATGTGTACTTCTGAGTGGATTCTGTTTATGTGTGGACACATGACAATCATGTGGAATTTGACAGAGAAATTCGCCAATAAAAATGTGTCGAATTTTATGCGTGTTCCGAAGGAAGACGTGATCAGCGATTTTATGCCTCAGTTAATCCCGGCGGCGTCGACTGGGATTGAACCCAGGCCTTTTGGGGTTATAGGCAATCGACGTTATGATTTGTTGGAAATCTTTGAATACGCCATTTTGATGTTTATTTTTATTTTTGCGAGATTCAAAATGGTTGAATTTTAGCTCAAATTGCCAATGATTGATCATAACAAACAATTGTGCAAAGTTTCATACAAATCTGAGCAGGTCCTTTAAAACAATTCGTTGCTTTGGGAATTAGAAATAAGTTGTTTCTTAAGTTGCAGTAAAAAACAAAAGTGGGGAAACATTATACTACAACGTCTTTATATTAGGTTCTCCAACTACGCGGGGCAAAATGCTCATAATTATGATATGTCACCACAACAAAGGGATAGTATGCTCTATACTAAAATATAAGCTCCACAAAAAAAAAGTGTGATTTGTCACAGACTGTCAATATTAGATGTCGCATACTAGAGAGGTGGAATGAATATCTTTTTACCCATGTTTACCTAAATTACGTAAAAAATAACATCGGAAGGATGCTATTTTGAACTTTTATTTTTATTATTGATTTGGGGCACTTGACAACTGTCAAAGTTGCATAGTCGAATGGTCCCATTAAATACTTTGATTGCCCATCAATTTTGCAGTTATATTAATCATGTATTCGTAGAAATGCAAAGGGGGCGTTTTACACGCCTAACCTATTATCATTCATTCATGCATTGACGCGCATTCATAATTCATTCGTCGTCTAAATAAAATTACTAAAAATACCGTTAAAAGTCCCTGCTCAGCACCACGTGTGCTGACTGCATGATAGCGGTACTTTTTCATTCATGGACATCGCAAAAAAGTCTACACACCGCTATCTCTCCATAACACAGTGACAAGGCAACCTACGTACAAATCAACTACTGTACACTCGTGACAGCAGGCATAAGAAAGGTGTTTCCAGCTACAAGGCCATAGAAAAAAGTTTACGTTTTATTTCCAATCCGTATGATTAAATTTTGTCATTCCTTACAAGCTGCCAAAAAACTCAAGGTCAAAATCCGTAATAAATTCAGTTCCATTTTCGTAGCATCAGCGATGGCTGACCTCCGCGAATTACTTCAGCCAATCAGAGCGCCCCACACCACACAAATACGAACTCACTGATGTTTGTGCATCGGCAGTAGCTGGCAGGCTGCAGCGTATCTTGAAAAAATCTCCCCAAGTCCCCATTCAATCGCAAAATAAGGAAGTGTACGGAGTCGCGTTGAGAAAAATAATAATCTTCGAACCGAACGTCCAGTTTACAGGTGCAAAATTCGCGTTCTTGAGCGCGGACTGTGCAGTTCAATCACCGAGGATTGGATTTATCGTGAAAATCGACGGCAAAAAGTTGCCAAGCGAGCAGAAAAACGGGAAAATTCAGTGCAAGGAAAATTTACGACGGATTAGTGAAAGGTCTTTTCCATCGCTGTTGAATTTCTCCAATCGTGGACGTGGTGCCATCCGTCCCTTTCGGTGTCCACTGCTGGGGTGTGCAACACAGTAACAAAGAGTATACGGTTTATTGCTTTGAGAGTGGACCATCCCAGGCAAAAAGAAGGGGCCTAAATTTAGATCAAGTTTGTTTTTACACACCCTGCTTGTAAAACTACATCACGACCCAGTGCCTAGTGTTTTGTCAGAAGATTAAAATTTGATTGTGACTCATCATCACAGTTCGTAGATAGCAGCGGAACAGGTACAACCAGCCAACCGTCCGTCCCAACCACACACACTGACCCGACTGGTCTGGTCTGGTCTGTCAGTAGTGTTCAGCTCCAGTGGCAACAGCGGACAGTGGTTGCATCATGGATATTACGCTGATAGTCAAAGCGTCGAACCAGCAGTTCGACGATCAGACGATCAAATGCGAACCATCCTGGACGATTCGGCGACTCAAGGGACACCTGACGGAGGTGTACCCGGGGAAACCCGTAAGTAGTCCCACGCTAGAAAATACCGTCGAAAACAATAACAGTACCCACCTCCTCCCATCGTCAGCTAGGTGTCGAATTGTTCGCCTTTTGTTCGTGTTCCTATTTATAATCAATCTGTTTTTCGATGCGTTTGATGAAAGCCCCAGAAACTTGATCTTCGGCGTGTATATGCTATGGCGATATGATTGAAACAGTCGGTCGAAGCAATTAGCATGTAGAATGATATAATACACATATATTATAGGACCACTAATGACGGTTTCTCTCCAATTGCTGCCACGTATGGGAAAAAAACAAGTAAAACGATACATCCTCGCATCTGCGGTTCGTGAATTTAGTAATTTTCAAGTAGCATGTGGTTTAATTTTTGTTTTATTATGCTGCATTATTATCCTAATAAATCCTACTATCAAAAAACTGTTCGAAAGTGACAATAATGGGAACATCTGGAATATTTCTCGGGAGTTCTTGGGATAATCCGAAGAAAGTTTTGGATAGTTTCTGGGAAACTTTTGAGGATTTTTCTAGGGTAGTTCAGAGAAATTCAGTAATAATAGTCTCTGAGAGCTTTACTGCCGTTCTACGCATATCTGTCCCATGTTACTTTTGGGCGTTTTTCACTTATGTTGTTGATATAATTTAATGATGGAAAGCTATACAAACTATCCAAGTTCTTCCAAAACTGCGAAGAACGCAAGCACATTCATGTAATCACAAGAGTACAGACGTCAAACGCAACGTGGCCATCAAAGCAACACTGATAGTAACACTTCCTAGTGGGACTAACATGCGTAGAATTTCCTACTTCAGTGCAAATTTCTAGGCATAACAGTCCCATTAAATATTGTTCGTATAAAAATAGGCTTAACTGATTTCATTGAAGGTAATTTCTGTAGTTTTCACTAAAACATGTGAAAAATGCGCTAACTTATTTTACCGTATATTTCTTCCAATGAGCAGAAATGACTCGAAACATTATTCGCGATTTTCTCAGAAGCAACTTTTGAAACATTGAACTGATATGCGTGAAACGGCAGTTTAGGTTTCTTCCGAAACCTTTAAGGAAATTCCGAAAGAACTTCACATATCATCCGAATTAGGACATTTCCAGAACAACATGTGAAAAGGGCATACAAGCTTTTTGTAAACAAACCTTTGTAGGCCCTTTTCTCACCAACCGAGGGTCGCCCACTCAAACCAGCAATATCATCGGGAAGGGGAAAGTGTCCCCTACGCGGTGATGTTAAAGGTTTGCGTTGGTGTCATATGGGTGGCGAGAAAAGGGCATAAGAAGGTTTGTTTACAAAAAGCTTGTATGCCCTTTTCACATGTTGTTCTGGATTTAGTAACCATTCGTGGTTGGATATGTTGTTGAAGTCGCTAAACTCAAAACAGACACCGACATAAATCACCGGTGCATGAATGGAGTGCTTAGCTAAAATAGTAACAGAAGGAGCGTTATGATAGCGATATCGATACCGACTGCCATGGCTTTAAGCCACATTATTTGTCTAATGCATCAAAATTATTTCTATATTTTTATCAACAAAAAAAAAAAGACCTTCTCCCTTCTGTCATGAATTTACGGACGTAAACAAACAATGGAAGAGTCACGATTGAGCTTAACATAAAATTCAGCTTGACAGCAATGAATCGAATATTTTAACGCAGCCAACATTAAAAAATCACTCCGAATCACTCAGGGTGTAAATATTCATACATTGAGCTCTAATAGGCTTTGTTATAGCTTTTAAAGTAATGTATCTTACCAAACGTATAATTGAATCGTTAACGCCGAAACCTTAGATATACCTATTTGATGTTTTCTGATAGGACGAAAATAAGCGATTAAGCCGAAGTAAATTATTGCCCTAACTTTTCCCCAACAACAGCTACACATACGAGGCATATTCCGGTCTTATCTCTGGAACCGGAATCTCAGGATGTAGACTCCCATGGAAGGATTTTAACTTTCAAGTGATCACGCATTTGTCAAAAGTGGTGGTTGATATCGCGGAACTGATTTAACAATATTACATACCTACAACAAATTTAAATTCCATGTTCACAAACAGCTTATCAAGCTGCAAATCATGTATGTATTAGTCTGCTTTAGTGATTTGAACTTTAGGTATTGGTTATGGTGCAAGGGTACCAATACATACACTAAAATAGAAACTTCAAGGCAATTCAGTTATTTTCAGTAATATTGCGGGTTCCTATAAAAAATACTGTGAAATTCAGGGCAGTGTAGAGAACAGGAAGGAAATTCAGAAATCTTTTGGGCAGTTTTAATAACATCAGGAAAGCCCGGACTATTGAAAAAGTTATGAATTAATGTCGATAATTTAAGGGCAGTTCCATGAACTTCAGAAATTTGTTGAGAACTTTAGTGAAAATCATAGAACTATATTCATTATTTCGTTTAGATGCCGAGAAAATTGCGGCAGCTTAAAGAAAACTTCGAAATTTCACAGAAGAGCAGAAATCTTCAGAAAAACTCCGAGAACTCATAGAAGTCTAGGGAAAATCCGTTAACTTCCAGAACTTACATGAACATTAGCTAAATACGGAAGCATTTCAAAGAAGTTTAGTAAGCTTCAAAAATTTTAAGAAATTTTGAGATTTTCAGAGAAGTTTCGAGAATTTCATGAAAGAACAAAGAAACTCAGAGCAGTTCCGGTAACATTAGAGAAATTAGCTAAATTTAAAAGAAATTTCGAGAACTTCAGTTAAAATTTTTGAGAAGGTTCGTTAGGAAAATTGAGAAAATTTTAAGAAGTTTAAAAATTTGATAAGATGTATTGTGAGCATCCAGCTACTTTCTAAAACTTCAAAAGAACTTATCCATTTCCCGCCCGGAGTGTTTTTTTTTCCTTTGGTTTGTTTTTTCCGTCGATCTTGTTTTCCGTGCTGAGCACCAATGCTACCGACGTGCCAGGAAGGCAGCTCCCACACCTGGACCCTACCTATCGACCCATCAACTCATGAACCGGGACCAACGGCTTTACTTCCCATCCGAAGGAAGGCGTGATCAGAGATGTTATGCCTCAGAACATCCCGGCGGTGCCGACTGGGATTGAACCCAGGCCTGCTGTGGTGAGAGGTAATCACGCTTACCACTACACCACCGGCGCCGTTAATCCCGGAGTGTTTTGGCATAATACATTTTAAAAACTAGTATCTCTGGAGTGTGGATATTGGCCTAGTACAGACTATGTTGCAATAGTTTTACAAAAGAACAGCGGCGTCACGTAACCCCACTTTTTACACGTAGAAAAACTAATTTTAATTGCAACAAAAGTCTGTATCATTTCAACTAAAAAAAACTGTATTATTTGCCGGTTCATAATTCATTATTTTTGAATCAACAAAAATCGTGTAACCATTTCAACAATATTGAGTTTGCTAGGAATCAATTTCACTTTTTTGTAAATAGAAACTGCCATTGTTTTTAATATTAAAAAAAAAATATTACGAATTTATACTCAGCAATTTTCATAAGTAAGTAAAACGATTGAAAATACTGATGATGATTGTGGACATTCGCATGATGGTGAATCCGTTTTCTATGTGTTGCTGCTAAATAAGAAGCCTGGGTGAGTTTCCCTTCTAGAGGAACTTGAGCACCAATCGTCGTCATGTTAACTGTTTTAAGAGAAGGATTAGAATTAAGCTCAACTACATATTATGCAGTTAACGGTAATATTAAATACCTTAAAATCTGTTCAATATCGCCAAGTATTTGGTTTTCCCTTTTGGAAGTTAATGCAATTAGGCAATTGATTTGTGTTATGGTGGTTTCAGTTTCTAGAATACTCGAAGAAATACTCTAACTAAATGAAAACTTAATACTTACCGAGAAGGTCGCATCGTATAGAGATAATTGCATTGAATTCATCGTTAAATATTGAAGTTATAACTTAATGGTGGGATATAACAAACATAATGACCGCATTTGACAGCTTATCATTCAATGTAAATACATACTGAATTCAAGTTGATATGTTGTTGAAGTGAAACGTATGGTCATTAAAATAAACAATATTTTTTGTTAAAAGTGTTGATGGTACGGACAAAAGCCTACAATTTTCGGTTCAATAATATTTGAAAGTTGTTCCAGATTTAATGCGTTTTGGTTGAAAAATGCACTTAATCTTCTAGTTTACCCGATACCTATCCATTGCCAGCAATATTTTGATAATTATTTATGTTTTGAGAGTTGGTGCACAGGTAGATTGAGGTTAAGGAAACGCCACTGCAAAAGTAGGTTGTAATTTCAGAAAGTTATAACACACAATATCAAAAAAAAAGCCTTGGTGCTCCAGAGTAACCGCATGTACGGGAAAAAGTTAACTTCAGAAAATGTTGGTAACTTTCAAGTAGTTCTTAAGAGCTCAGAATAGTCCATTCCATATTCAATGAAGATTTATCATGAAAATTCACTTGAAGTTCTCCCCCACACTCATTTTAAATTCTCACCAGAATATACTTAGAATACTTCTCGCAACTCCAGACGAATCTAGAACCACACTACTGTTAATACTGGCGACATCGCTCTGATGAGACAACGAAACCCTACCCCCAAGCTCCTCCCCTTTTCCTATCCTTCGACAATGTACCCCTGTAACCTCGGGTAAGCCGCGAGTATTCGACCCAACTCCTACTAGACATAGAATTTAGTGAATTTTGTTACAAACAAAGAACAATGAATCATCGGCCCCGTAAAGCTAACGCGATTGAGCCTTTCAAATAAACGAACTAGATAAAATAATACTTCTCGCAATTCCACCATTCCATTCCAATGAAGTATTCCTCAAAATTTCGTTGGATCCGTCCTCCGAATTCAATTTTCTTTGAATTTTCCTAGAGATTATCTTGAAATTATCTCAGTAATTCGATTTTTGTTTTAAGAATCTTCATTGAATTTATTTCAGAATTCCTTGTGACTCTCACCCTTCCCTTGGAATTCTACTCACATTGAAAGTCTCCTAAGA